ATCTAGAATACCGAACACATTACACAATAGCTAAGTGGAGTTTCCTTACCCATTACTGCACAAGAAACAGACACACAGTGCCATTAATACAGTCACATAAGGACAATAAATCATTAAAAAATTATTTTGGAATGCAACAAAATCATGGCTGTATAAATATGAATAAAATTTATATACTGTTTTAAGAGGCATATTTAAAAATATGATTCTTGTTAAGGAAACTCGACTTTCAGGCATTTATGAAAACAAAAATTAGTGCTTGACAAACATCTACACAAACATTACAAGCTGTGCATAACATGTACAATACCTGACTTAATCTGACCTGATACTGAGGGGTGACTAAACTATGATGTCTGGCGTCAAGTGATCCAAGTCTCAAACTTGGATGAGATTCCAACAAGGAGGGATCATGTTACTGTCTTACTCAGGGTGAGTCAAAGGCAATACGTTAGCTACAAAAATATCCCCTTCCTCTTTATTATCTTTCCTGATTATCCTCCCTCCTTATTATCCTCAGTCTCACTTTTTTCCTTCTCTTCTACTTGTTTCCCTCCTCTCTTCCTATCACCCTTCCTTATTTACTATTCCTTTTATTCTTTTCTTATTTTATTATCTTCCTCTACTCATTTTCTTTTATTTATTATTGCCGTGACTTAGCTAAAGAGGGAAAACTCAATGGGCATTAACATAGATTTCAATAATTGATACATGACAATTACAGCCTGAACACAGACTTGTGTGGGGGGAATAAAAATGAAACACAGACATGTGTTGAGGGGGATAACCTGTCACAGACTTGTGTTTGGGAGAAACTAGACACATTATTTCTTTGTGGGGAGATAACCTGGACACAGACATGTGCAAGGGAGTTATTAACCTTGACAAAGACATGTGTGGGGAATAACCTAGTCACAGACTTTGTTGAATAACCTAGACACAGACTTGTTTTGGGAGATAACAAGACAAGACTGTGTAGGAGATAACTGGACACAGACTTGTTTGGAGGATATTAACCAGACACAGACTGTGTGGGATAACCTGGAGACAGACTTTGGGGAGATAACTGGACACAGACTTGTGTGGAGATAACACTACACCAGACTTAGTGGTGAGATAACTAGACACAGACTTGTGTGGGAGATACTACGGGACACAGACTTGTGTGGCGGGATAACCTAGTCTACAGACTTGGTTGGAGATAACCTAGACAAGATTGTGTGATGGAGATAACCTGGTACACAGACGTGTGTAGGGCAGATAACTGACAAAGATTGTTGTGGGGAGATAACCTAGTCATGACTTGTCGTTGGGATATCCTAGACACAGTCTTGTGTTTGGAGATAACCCTACTCACACTTGTGTGGGGAGATAACCTGGACACAGACGTTTGGGAGATAACCTGGCACCAGTGTGTGGGGAGATAACCTGGACTAAAGATGTGTGGGCAGATAACCTAGTCACAGAATTGTTTGGAAATAACCTAGACACAGACTTGTGTTGGGAGATAACCTAGACACAGACTTGTGTGGGGAGATAACCTGGACACAGACTTGTGTGGGGAGATAACCTGGACACAGACGTGTGTGGGGAGAATAACCTGAGAACAGACTTTGTTGGGAGATAACCTGGACACAGACTTGTGTGGGGGGATAACCTAGTCACAGACTTGTGTTGGGAGATAACCTGGACACAGACTTGTGTGAGGAGATAACCTGGACACAGACGTGTGTGGGGAGATAACCTGGACAAAGACTTGTGTGGGGAGATAACCTAGTCACAGACTTGTGTTGGGAGATAACCTAGACACAGACTTGTGTTGGGAGATAACCTAGACACAGACTTGTGTGGGGAGATAACCTGGACACAGACTTGTGTGGGGAGATAACCTGGACACAGACGTGTGTGGGGAGATAACCTGGAGACAGACTTATGTGGGGAGATAACCTGGACACAGACTTGTGTGGGGAGATAACCTAGACACAGACTTGTGTTGGGAGATAACCTAGACACAGACTTGTGTGGGGAGATAACCTGGACACAGACTTGTGTAGGGAGATAACCTAGTCACAGACTTGTGTTGGGAGATAACCTAGACACAGACTTGTGTGGGGAGATAACCTGGACACAGATTGTGTGGGGAGATAACCTGGGCACAGACTTGTGTAGGGAGATAACCTGGACACAGACTTGTGTAGGGAGATAACCTGGACACAGACTTGTGTGGGGAGATAACCTGGACACAGACTTGTGTGGGGAGATAACCTGGACACAGACTTGTGTAGGGAGATAACCTGGACACAGACTTGTGTAGTGAGATAACCTGGACACAGACTTGTGTAGGGAGATAACCTGGACACAGACTTGTGTGGGGAGATAACCTGGACACAGACTTGTGTAGGGAGATAACCTGGACACAGACTTGTGTAGGGAGATAACCTGGACACAGACTTGTGTAGGGAGATAACCTGGACACAGACTTGTGTAGGGAGATAACTTGGGCACAGACTTGTGTTGTGAGATAACCTGGTCACAGACTTGTGTAGGGAGGTAACCTGGTCACAGACTTGTGTAGGGAGATAACCTGGACACAGATTTGTGTAGGGAGATAACCTGGACACAGACTTGTGTGGGGAGATAACCTGGACACAGACTTGTGTAGGGAGATAACCTGGACACAGACTTGTGTTTGGAGATAACCTGGACACAGACTTGTGTGGGGAGATAACCTGGACACAGACTTGTGTAGGGAGATAACCTGGACACAGACTTGTGTAGGGAGATAACCTGGACACAGACTTGTGTTTGGAGATAACCTGGACACAGACTTGTGTAGGGAGATAACCTGGCACAGACTTTGTGGGAGATAACCTGGACACAGACTTGTGTAGGGAGATAACCTGGACACAGACTTGTGTAGGGAGATAACCTGGACACAGACTTGTGTAGGGAGATAACCTAGACACAGACTTGTGTGGGGAGATAACCTGGTCACAGACTTGTGAGGGGAGATAACATGAACACAGACGTGTGTGGGGAGATAACCTGGACACAGACTTGTGTTGGGAGATAACATGACACAGGACTTGTGTGGGGAGATAACCTGGACACAGGACTGTGTGGGAGATAACCTGGACACAGACTTGTGTTTGGAGATAACCTGGACACAGACTTGTGTAGGGAGATAACCTGACACAGACTTGATGTGGGAGATAACACTGAACACAGACTTGTGTGGGAGATAACATGAACACAGACTTGTGTGGGGAGATAACATGAACACAGACTTGTGTGGGGAGATAACCTGGACACAGACTTGTGTAGGGAGATAACCTGGACACAGACTTGTGTTTGGAGATAACCTGGACACAGACTTGTGTAGGGAGATAACCTGGACACAGACTTGTGAGGGGAGATAACGTGAACACAGACGTGTGTGGGGAGATAACCTGGACACAGACTTGTGTGGGGAGATAACATGAACACAGACGTGTGTGGGGAGATAACCTGGACACAGACTTGTGTGGGGAGATAACCTGGACACAGACTTGTGTAGGGAGATAACCTGGACACAGACTTGTGTTTGGAGATAACCTGGACACAGACTTGTGTGGGGTGATAACCTGGACACAGACTTGTGTTGGGAGATAACCTGGACAAAGACTTGTGTGGGGAGATAACCTGGACAAAGACTTGTGTTTGGAGATAACCTAGTCACAGACTTGTGTTGGGAGATAACCTAGACACAGACTTGTGTTGGGAGATAACCTAGACACAGACTTGTGTAGGGAGATAACCTGGACACAGACTTGTGTGTGGAGATAACATGAACACAGACTTGTGTAGGGAGATAACCTAGACACAGACTGGTGTGGGGAGATAACCTGGACACAGACTTGTGTGGGGAGATAACACTGGAACACAGACTTGTGTGGGGAGATAACCTGGACACAGACTTGTGTGGGGAGATAACCTGGACACAGACTTGTGTGGGGAGATAGCATGAACACAGACTTGTGTGGGGAGATAACCTGGACACAGACTTGTGTGGGGAGATAACCTGGACACAGACTTGTGTGGGGAGATAACATGGAATAACACAGACTTGTGTGGGGAGATAACCTGGACACAGACTTGTGTGGGGAGATAACCTGGACACAGACTTGTGTGGGGAGATAACATGAACACAGAGCTTCTCTCTGCTGAACCAACTCAATAAGTTTGGTAAATACATTTATTAATCGATGCATTAAATATATAAAAAATAAAATTAATCAAGTTAATTTAGCCAACAATAGATAACAAAATCTGTTAAGTTGATAATTTGGCTCCAAATCTAAACTTTCTTTATAACCAAAAAAATAATGATTGAAAAGGTAGATTATTATTTTGATGACTAAGAATAAATAAATAACGGCGTTTGAATAATGAAGGAATTAATTTACTGAATATAGTTCCGCCCATTGTATTGAAAATACATCAATGTCTGATGTAAAAAAAAAATTAACGTAAGAAAATAATGATATATTTCTTACAGTATAATGACTTTATGTAATAGTCGAGTTATAATGGCATAGAAATTATGAAGATTAAATCCCACTTGGTTTTACACTCCCCAGTGAACCTAATAATAATAAAAACTGTAAATTTGGTATACAAATAACCCGCTCATAAGAGAAACTTACCACGACGTTTCGGTCCAAGTCGGACCAAAACGACGTCGTAAGCTTCACTCTCCTACGTGAGAGTTATTTGTGTATTGTTCCAGTCACGTATTTGTGTATTTTTGTCCTTTCTATAAACTTAGCTTTACAGGATAATTTTCCATCATTTCTCAAATCATTTTCCCCGATTCATTTCTGGAACTTCTCATCCCTCTTCCTATTCCTTCCATTACAATTTTTAGGGACCTACTGTTTTTCTTACCTAACTCAAACTAGCATAAAAAACGGGCACGAGGTGCAGCACAGCTACAGAAAACGGGCAAAGGTCCAACTTACTTCTTTCCTTCTAGTTGGTCTTCCATATTGCGGTTACTGCTAGCGTAGACGTTAGTGACACTAGCGTCGAAGAGGAGAGACTGTACTAAGTCCTTGTCACCTGTGAAAGAATAAGAACATAAGTAAGAAGGAACGCTGCAACAGGCCTACTGGCCCATGCGAGGCAGGTCCAATTCTCCTACCGGCTTAAGCTAATGCCTAATCTAGTCAGGTCAGGTCACGTTCACTTAAGGAAGGACCACGGTATCAGACATAGCACTAGCTAGTCAGGCCCAACTCACACCCACCCACATCCACTCATGTATTTAACTAACCTATTTTTAAAACTACACAACGTTTTAGCTTCTATGACGGCATTCGAGAGTTTGTTCCAATTATCCACAACTCTGTTACTAAACCAGTGCTTTCCTATATCCTTCCTGAATCTGAACTTTTCCAACTTAAAGCAATTGCTGCGAGTCCTGTCTAGGCTAGACATTTTGAGCATGCTATCTACATCCCCTTTATTTATTCGTGTTTTCCATTTATACACCTCAGTCACATCCTCCCTAATTCTACGCCTTTCTAGAGAGTGCAGATTCAGGGCCTGTCTATCCTCATAGGAAGATTTCTGATACATGGGATCAACTTTGTTATCCCTTCGTGCTTTTTCCAGTATGTACTACTCTGCTTAGTACACACCCACAGATATATAGACGAGATTCATGTAATCGTAATAACAAGATTGTAAACTAATTAAGGAACGAGTGTGGGGGGTTTTAAACCCATAGCGAGTGAGTCTTAAACCTTAGTTGGTCGAGTGGTTAGCGTACTGGCCTGTGATTACATAAGATAAATATAATCAATAACCTTTGATCTATATATTATAATAGATAATTCAAACATATTTCCGTCAGTATAACACAATATTGACATTACTAAAGGAACTTTCATATTCATTTAATGTGGTTAAATGCTCATGCATTTTCAAATATAAGGATATTCTAAGAAAAATCTATTTAAGTAAAAATAAAGTATTCAAAAAAATAAGATGCCTCAAAGAAAACCAACAGCATATCATCATCTCTATATAAATGCAACATCTTCTGGAAATTCTCCTGTAAAACTGGCTTAAGATGGCCATCAACATTAACTATGCTATTATACTCAACAGGCAAATATAGAGAAACTTCTACATTGTCATGCAACTGTATGTCAGAAAATCCTAAAATAGAATATCGACATTATATATATATATAATATATATATATTATATATATATATATATATATATATATATATATATATATATATATATATATATATATATATATATGTGTGTGTGTGTGTGTGGTATATATATTACATTAACTATTTTAGATGTGTTAAGATCATAAATCATACTTCCTTAAAAAGTTTACATGTGCTGAGAAGTATGATGGTCAGATGTGTAGTATATAAAGTACAGTAGTAAGGCCTTTAACTCACAGTCGAAGGAACCGGGTTCAATCCTTAGTCGAGGCATATGTAATGACAGTTCTCTCACCTTGTGACTATGTTCACCACATAGTCACAAGGTGTTAGCCAGCTGTTGTGAATGGCACCGCGGAGGTTCGTTTGTATAACTAGTGGAGGCAAGACAACAGCTCTTAGCTTATGTATTTAATGGCTGAAAAGGTTACGTAAGGCCCCATGGCGTTTAACTCTTAAAGTAGAAGTGGATTAATAGGTTGTATATTATTGGGTAAAAGGTCATTTTATTATGGCAATGTTTCGTTCTCCAGATTTGTTAAGCCGTTACAAGAAATACAGGAACACAGAGGGTAATACATAGGTATTGAGTGTGGTGCAAAGTACAATGTAATTGTTGTAAGCAGTACAGGTACTACAACTATTACTACTAATAGCACAAGTACTACAGTTACAACTACTACTACCACCAGTACTACTACTACTATTGCCTACAACGATTATATTATGCTTTGCAGCTCATTCTGTTCCTATATATATCCCTTGTGCCCCTGTATTGTTTGTAATGGCTTGACAAAGCTCCTGGAGACTGAAACGTTGCCACAATAAGATGTCGTATTAGTTGCACTTGTGTCCTTTTGCTTAGCATATTGTCGGTAATTTTACCAACATTATTGCAGGCTGTATATCCCTTTGTGGTAGAGTGAGTGAAGGATCTCTGAATATACCACAGGAGAAAAACATCTCCAAGGATTATTATTATTATTATTAAAGATTCGCCGGTATTCTCCCGGCCCGGGCCTTTTCCAAGTGGTGGCCCGGCCTTGGCTCCCTCTTTATGGAGTGTCTGAGACCTAAGTCTCCCATGGGAGGAGGCACAAGTACCTCCTCATCTTTGGGACCAACTGTCCCCAGGCCTAGCCACAAGCTAGGCCTCTCTGGTCTGCCATTGCCGCCCCAAGGGGGCAAATGGGAATGACAGTCTTATGAGCTACAAGCTCGGGCTCAGGCACCTACCCTACCCTAGAAGGGCTGGGCATGGTGTCGATGATCTTCAAGGAAAGTGTGGAACAAGAGGCAGAAAAATGCTCTGACGTAATATACACAAAGGCTAACGATATACTCTCAAGTGTAAAGTGTATTTCAGAAGAAAATGGAAGCTGGTAACCAATTACATGGTATTACTAATACCATGGCTGGTATCACTGCTACAGCACCTGTCATCACCACTACAGAGTCTGTTAGCACTTCTACAGCAACTGGAATCACAATTATAATGACTGATGTCACTACGACAGTGACTGATATCACTACTACAGCGACTCATATCACGACTGTAGTGACTGATACCACTACTACAGCAACTAACAGCACTACAACAGCACCCAGTATCACTACGACAGCCTCTCATTGCACTATTCCATTGACTAGCATCACTACTACTACTACTACTACTACTACAGCAGCTGATATTGCTACAACAGTGCCTGTGATTTCTTTTGCACTAACAGAGGGAAGGAGAGTGCGGGTCACTATTACAGGAAAAATGGGATGCCTCCATAAATGTCAAGAGGAAAAATGAAATATAATTACTTACAGTAATAGTTGTCCCTTCTGTCATCTTCGTGAGCTGGAGGCTTCCAGGTGTTGTCTGCATAATAGTGAAAGCGTAAGACATCGTTATTGGGTCACAAACCACGTGAACAAAATGCAAGAATGGGTAAGATCTGATTATCCAAAGATCCACTCCAAGGAAAATTGACATATGCAATGTATTCATATTTAAATTATTTAAATATTGCGAAAATATTGGCATAGCTAAGTTGGGTTCCTAAGTTAGTTTGAGCAAAAGTCTATAAAAATATCATATTAACAATTTTCATAAGCTTATTAAAGTGTTTTCTTTGGAGTAGTTGAACATTCAGGTAGCAGATGCAGCTGGTCACAAGCTGTTAACGTTACAGAGGTAGCAAAACCATGATCACGATTGAGTTTCACACAAGCTTCCATTAATAATCACTAAAAAATATGAAAGAACCAGAAAGGAGAGGGAGCCGTCAGAAGCATTGTACGTGTATTGAAAGAATGCTATCTGGTACATACCTGTAGATTTCAATAAATATGGAATAAAATATTCTTGACTGGTGGTGAATAGGCTACATGCAACCTTAATGGCCCAGTGTTGGTTGGTTGGCTCACTGGGTTTAAAGCCAATCGACAGCTCAAAGGTCATTAAGGCTGCATATCACCTGTTCAAGAACACTTTAATTTACATAACAGGGAAGAAAGTACAATCTCAGTCTATATACACAGAAACATGCACCTCTCAGTGTATATATCTTTGATTCATTGATGAATAAGACACATGGACAATAGTTGCACTTGTGTCGTAGTCAATAGTCTTTATTAAATCCCATTAACTATCAGTAATCATCCTGGACAGCACTAAGTAGTAATTCTCTGTCTCTTACGAGGTACGAGGTATATGACCAGAGCTTTGGTAAGATGGGTAAGGACGGAAATACGGGAAAGGGTTGAGGGTGAAGGGGAAGATGGGGTTATGAAGGTAAGTGACCTAACCACTTCGGCGTAATTTATACAAGTGTGTGTGTATGTCTCTTAAGTGAGCCATAAAATGTGTCTCCAGTAAGCCTGAGGATTTTTAAGCAGACTTAGAGCCTCACGACGCTAAAATTGTTTATTATTCACAGTCAATTACGTAGATATTTTTCACTTTTGGTTGAAACAAGTTTAGTCATTAAAGAAAATAGTTCACGAAACTCGTGAATAATTTGATCTTTTAAAATATTTTTTTTAATGAAATGAAATATATTGTAGAAGAGTGGGCAGGCACCTAGAATGAAATTTAAGAAAAAATAAAAAAAATTAGAAAATCCATCAAACATAAAAAAGTAATGGAATTACTGGATGATGGAACTTGTTATTAAAATTGAAATGTCTTCATGACAGGAACTGAGAAGTACGAAAATTACCAAAAAAAAAGTACTTAAAGAATAGTATAAGAGAAATATTTTAAAAGATAAGCCCAAGGCATCAGAGGAAGATCGTTATTAAACAATATAAGGAGAGATGATTGTGGACTATAATGGTAAACTGCTTAAAATGTTATACCTCTAATGAGATTAATTTTGGGGTTTTAAAAAAAATTGTTTTAGAAAGATTTCGCCAATAATTTAGCCTTTTTTCTTTGGACATGATTGACGGGGAGGACAGGAACTGCTGCTGCTGCTGCTGCTGCTGCCTGCTGCTGTTGCTGCTGTTGCTGCTGTTGCTGCTGCTGCTGCTGCTGCTGCTGCTGCTGCTGCTGCTGCTGCTGTTGCTGCTGCTGCTGCTGCTGTTGCTGCTGCTGCTGCTGCTGCTGCTATTGCTGCTCCTGTAGCTGCTGCTGCTGTTGCTGCTGCTGCTGCTGCTGTTGCTAGTGCTGCTGTTGCTGCTGCTGCTGCTGCTGCTGCTGCTGTTGCTGCTGCTGCTGCTGTTGTTATTGCTGCTGCTGCTGTTGTTGTTGTTGCTGCTGCTGCTGCTGCTGCTGCTGCTGCTGCTGCTGTTGCTGCTGCTGCTGCTACTGCTGCTGCTGCTGCTGCTGCTGCTGCTGCTGCTGCTGCTGCTGCTGCTGCTGCTGCTGCTGCTGCTGCTGCTGCTGCTGCTGCTTAATCTTGTCCTCATCGTTACTTAAACTAATGATTTGTTTTTTACATACGTACTGCATTTTAAATTAACCAAAGTTTCAAAACAGAAGAAAGCAGTCATGCTGGTCAAACGCGTTCAGTGTAGAGGGAATAAATTCAATGGAAGAGAAAGTAAAACACACACACACACACACACAACACACACACAACACACACCACACACACACACACACACAACACACACACACACACACACACACACACACACACACACACACACACACACATAAACACACATATATTCATTAGATAATTAGTAAAATGTAGTAGAAACAGTAAGTCATGCACTCCTGAAAGAGAAACAAAGACACGGGCAACTAAATGAACAGATAATAAAAGATAGAGAGAAAGAGAGGGAGAGAGAACTAGTGACTTACACTGAGCCTGGTTCATGGCAGGTTCAGGAGGTGGGCGGGTACGGGTGGAACGCCACTTCCAGTGGGGCTTCTGTGCACGGGAGAGGAAGTCCTTCATGAGGTCCTCTGGGCTCTGGTCGACGCGGTTCTGGTCGTACTTGTACTCACAGTACACCCTACACAGGCAGGGGAGAGGGAGAGAAAGGAGTGTACGTCATATACTGTATATATCCTCAACACAGATCTATATATTTGTAGTAAACAGTGCAAGCAGAGTGTGTGTAGAGAGAGGAGAGAGAGAGAGAGAGAGAGAGAGAGAGAGAGAGAGAGAGATGTGTGTGTTAATGTGTCTATTCTCATATCAGCAGGGATATTGCAAAATGAACTGTACATATCCTAAGCATACTTCTTTGTATGTGTGTGTGTGTGTGTGTGTGTGTGTGTGTGTGTGTGTGTGTGTTGTGTGTACTTGAACTGCCAATATTGGTAGAACACACACGCATGCATATATCTGAAAAAACTGATAAAAAATATTCTAATCCATGACTCACCAATCAGGGTGAAGAGTCCAATTTCCCGTAGAAAAATGATCCATTGCTGAAAGATTACCACAGCGAATTAACATAAATATGCAATATATATATTTTTATTTATTTTATTATCATCCGGCCGATTCATCCAGCAGGTGGCCAAAAAGAAAGACTTTCACCATCATACTCATATGTCTTGCAGAAGGGTGCTTACACTAGTTTTTAACTGAACATTTAAAACCTCCTTCAGAGTGCAGCACTGTATTCCATCTCAGGACTCAAGTCCGGCCTGCGTTCACTGAATCCTTAAAAGTTATTTGTCCACTCACTACGTAATGATATTAAAACATTTGTCTCCATTCACTCATACACGCTCAGCTTTAGCTCTGGAAGTCCAGCCTCGCAAAAACTCCTTACCCCTCCCTCAACTTCTAGGCGACCCTACCGCCTTCTTCCATACAGAGATAATCTTGAAGTCATTCTGTTTCGCTTCATTCTTCTACTGTCCGAACCACCTCAACAACCTTCCTACCCTCTGAACAACAGTTTTGGTAATCCGCACCTCTCTACTTCAACTACGAATTTCTCTGCATTATATTCACCCACACATTGCTCAGACATGACATCTCCTGCTCGCTATCCTGCATGAACTCATCACCCATGCTTCACATATAAGAGCCGTTGTAAACTTTATATCATAATTCCCTCTGTACCTCAAGGACAAAGTTCTTGATCCACAGATCCTAAGTGCACCATCATCTTTCTATCCTCATCAATTCTATGAATTCACCTCATCTTTATAGACCATCGCTGCTTCCACTCCCAAATATCTGATTACGTTCACCCTCCATCTTTCCCTCAATTGAATCAATCTTTTAACTAATTTTTTGTTATCCTCATAACCTTACTCTTTCCGTTTCACCTTTAATTTTCTTCTTTGCACACCCTACAAATTCATCACCAAATCTCTGCAATTCTCTTCAGAATCTCCAAGCACGTGTCTCAGCAAGAGGCAGCTGTGACACTCCACTTTGTGTTGATAACTTTAACTATCAACTACCCCTCCCTTCCCAAGATCGGGACTGTACTCTCTTATAACCCCTCTAATAAATAATTATTAAAAACTATCGGTGGTAATCGGTTGCTATTTTAACGAAACGATACTTTGGTACTTCCTAATTATAACATCTAGTTTCTAATTAACTTGCACTACTACAGTTATGAACTTTGCAACAGCCTTACCATGCCATCCATATGGATTTTAACATCAAGAACCACTTCACCACCCCGCTGCCAATCAAAATCGCGACGAAGCTGGAAAAGTTTTGGATGAGTAAACAGTGGCATGTGGATGTGTATCAGGCATTGGTGACATTCTTGCTTTGCTTTCACAAAGAAGAGACTGACAAGAGATGTCTAACTGAATCAAGGAGGAGCTGGTTAATAACTATGTCGAGTTACACATGCAGATATTCGAAAACAGGACTGAAAATCCCTGTGGTGATGGTGACTCGTAAGCAAAAAACCATGTCTCTCACAGACAATGAAAAAGCACCAAGTTCAGTCATGCTGATGAATATCTCAGTATATGAGGAAAAGTATCATTTTAATAATTTTTTTAAAATTTATAAATTTTAAACTCACACCCAAGCATAAAATTTTTAAAAAAATGTTCCATTACCATAAAAGCTCCCAAAAAAGGGGAATCCCCTTTTGCCCCCCTTTTTACCCCCCCTCCAACCATACCCCAACCGCCTTTCTTCCTCGGGATCCTTTAAGCTTTGGGTCCATTCCCTCACTTAACCCTAACCCCTTCCAGCCCTTGGCAACGTTTGGTTCCCACCTTCCTTTAAACCTCCTTTCTTTGATTTTTTCCAAAATTGTCAGACTTTAATTCTGTTTTCCCCTTTTAAATTATTTTAACCCATTGAGCCGTTTCAAATCAATTCCCTTGCCCAAAAAGGGAAAAATCTTTTATTCACCCCTAATCCCAACTTTCTTCCCTACATTTAAATTCACCTATCCTAACCCATCGCTGCAGTTACTCAATATCTGAATATTAAATTTATTTTCCTAAACTTGTATTAATTTAACCAATCTTTTTTTTATTTTAACCTTCTTTTCCTTTTTCACCTTTTTTTTCTTTTGCACACCCTACCCAATTTCCACCATTTGAATTTCTCAGAATCTCCAACCGTGCTCACAAACGGGATGTGAAATCATTTTGGTGGTTAAATCTTAGTTTGCCAAGCCTGCATTTCTTTCTTTCAAAAAACAAAAAAATTTAAAAACAAGGGACTAATCCTTGTCAGGTTACTTTTCTGGGAAATTTCCCCTTTACAATTTACTTGGCTCACTAACAAAAACTCTTCACGCTTTAGAAACCCCCAACCCTCATTGAATCTGCAATTTACCCCAATGAAAAGTTTCTAGACCATAAACCAAAACCCTTAGTATTTAATCTTTCACTTAATTTTTTCATGTAGGTAAAAAACCATACTTAGATCCTGTAAGATTTTTCGTTTTTTCAATTTTTAATTTTAATTAACATTAATTAAGGACACTTAAAGATTACCCCCTTTTTTTTTAATCTCTTAAAACCCTTTTTTTATAAAGGGAATATGCAAGCCGAATGAGGAGCGGGAAGAGAATTGGTCTTTTTTTTAAAAATTTTAAAATCCAATAACTATACCCCCTTCTTTTAAAATTTCTACTTATCCAAACGTTATTTAAATTTTTAAAAAATGCAGAAAACCCCCATCAAAAAATGGGGTTTTTAAAAAAATTTAATTTTTCCCTTAAGGGAAAAAAAGTTCCCAAAAATTTACAACATTTAAATTTCATAATTCATTCAAAACCCTTACCAAATTAAAACTCTTCTTTCCTTTTCCCGGGCCCCAATTTTCCCCCCCTTTTTTTGTCCTTAAAAAAGAAAACCCATCAAATTGGTTTTTTCAAAAGGGAAAAAAAAAAAAAAAATTTTATCTTTTTTTAAAAATTTTTAAAAAAATCTAATTTTTTTTTTAAAAATTTTTTTAAAAATTCACCCCCTCTCTCATTTGCTCTTTTTTAATTGCTTCCCACCCTCTTAATTCTCCTTTTTCTCCATATACTCCTCCCCCCCTTTGCATCATTCTATTTTGTAAAAATTCTCTTCGCTAATTTTTTCCCCCTTACTACTCTCTTACTCATCTTTCCCACCAATCGCCCTTTCCCTCCTGCACCCATTTCCCTGTAACCAAACTTTGCTGAAAACCTTAATACATTTTAAAACCTACCCCCATACTCTTCGACCCCTTGCCTATGTTCATTACCCCTTTCCCCCAATAGCTGTTTATATTTCCCTAACTCCCTTCCTTTTTTATTTTTAAAAACCTTCCCCTCTTTTTCCCCCTGATGCTTTTATATTTTTATATATATATATATATATTTATATATAATATATTATATATATATATATATATATATTATTTTTATTTATTAATATTTAAAAAATTTAATTATATATATTTTATATATATATTATATATTTTATATATATATATATATTTATATATATATTATATAATTTACACTAAAGGACTAATACAGTTTTAAAAAAATAAAAAATGAATTACATTAATGTTTTCCTATTTATCTACACTAATTTAGGCCTCTTTTAATATTTTAAGAATTCGCGTATTCGTTGTTCATGTCTTTTTTAACCCAAGCAAATCCCTCTAACAAAAATATTTTAACTGATTTCCCCAAGTCTCACCTTTAGCTCCTCTGGGATCCTGAATGACCCTTGAGAGTTCAATCTGCCCGTGCACTTTATACTTGCCGTATCCTTCAGGCATAGCGATGCCCAGACTGAAGGGCGTTCCACCTATCTTCTGTGTGAAGTACCTCTGCTTCCTTTGTACTACGCGTTTCTAGAATATTGTAATTTCTAGATTAGGTGTTAGTATTTTTTTAGACACACTTTTAATATTATTTTTTTTTTTAACACATGGCCCTTTCCCCCCAAGGTTTTGGGGGACCCGAAAAAAGGGGAAAAAACCTCTCATCATCATTCACTCCATCACTGTCTTGCCAGAGGCGTCCCTACACTACAGTTGTAAAACGGCAACATCAACACCCCTCCTTCAGAGTGCAGGCACTGTACTTCTAATATTACTTTTAATATTAATAATTTTAAAAGTATCGGTTGGTATCGGTTGTATTTTAACCGAAACCGATACTTTGGTACTTCCTTATTTATAACATCTAGTTTCTAATTAACTTGCACTACTACAGTTATGAACTTTGCAACAGCCTTACCATGCCATCCATATGGATTTTAACATCAAGAACAGCTTCACCACCCCGCTGCTCAATCAAATCGCGACGAAGCTGGAAAACAGTTTTGGATGAGTAAACAGTGGCATGTGGATGTGTAATCAGGCATGTTGGTGACATTCTTGCTTTGCTTTCACAAAGAAGAGACTGACAAGAGATGTCTAACTGAATCAAGGAGGAGCTGGTTAATAACTATGTCGAGTTACACATGCAGATATTCGAAAACAGGACTGAAAATCCCTGTGGTGATGGTGACTCGTAAGCAAAAAACCATGTCTCTCACAGACAATGAGAAGCACCAAGTTCAGTCATGCTGATGAATATCTCAGTATATGAGGAAAAGTATGCTGGTGAGACCCACAGAAACGTATTAGCCAGCTGAAGAAATATCCTCTACTCCTCTCTACTAAGGCTGTCCGCAGTGTTAGTTGGGGTAGTGAATTATACGCATACTCATAAAAATACTTTAGGATCAGCTGAAAGAAGAGTGAGAGAGCGATTTTTTGTCAATGTTTAGAAGGGTAATTACAAATCTGGATGTATAGGGAACACTTGAAAGATCGCTACTCTTTTTTTTTAATTCTACATGTAAGAAAGGTTGTTATATTGATATAGAAACACAGGAGATGGAGGAAGCGGAGGAGGAGGAGGAGAAGGTTCAGGTCATAGGCTGTGTTCCGGACGAGAAGTGTAAGTCACATAACTATACGCCTGGATACCCTTGTAAAATCTCGATAAAGCACTGAAGATGCAGAAAAATTAATAAGAATATGAGATGGATAAAAGAACTGCAAGGAAAAATCAGTAAATGACAAATGGAAGGAGGAATAATGAGGAAAATATTAATTAATTTCATGGGAGGAAGACAAAGAGTACAAAAACTTACAACAAATTTAGTATATGTCAGTGTAGCATAGCAAAGTTCGAGACAGGAAGAGCACTTCATGCCAAATATAAATACTGCATAAATCTTTCCTCTTTCCTGGACCCTAATTTCCCCTTATTTAAGAATCCTAAAACAGAAATTCCCAGGTAACAAATCAGGTTATTTGTCATGAGTAAGGATAAAAATAAAGGGGAAATAAAAAAAAATATTTATCTGATATGTTTTAAGGAATAAATTGGGGGGGGGGGGGAATAAGAGAGATGCTGAATCTTTATTTCTTTCAGATTAAAACATTTCTGTCAACAATATGAACAACTGAAGGTGTACAAATAATCAGTTTCATTACTATCTTACGAAGATCTTTCTGTTAAATTCAATTTTAAGACATTAAATGGATTAAAAGTACATGATCGTTATGGCAATTAATCTCCCTAAATACATCTACTGAAGTAGCATCTAACCAACATATATCAAAGACTTTACGTCAGTCAAGAAATATTTAAAGCTAGTCTACAATTACTTGGCATATTTTTTGTGAGCAAACTAATGACGATTAAGAAAAACAGATCTTGATGGGTGTCATGGCTGTGCGCAGATATTGTGTTCTACGAACACTGAACACTGAACACTGAACACTAGAACACAATACTCGGATGCCAGACATGTGATCCGCTCACGACTTGATGGAATCCTGTGCTACAAGACAGGCTGTGGCCAACCGTCGCCTGGGTGACAAAGCACAACACTTATACGCCAATTATGGTGAAGTACTGGTCCGACTTGGACCATTTACAAGTCACACTTGTAAATGGTCCGACTTGTAAATGATCCAGGCTGGATCGAAATGTCGTCGTAAGATTCTCTTTCCTATGTGCGGGTTATATGTGCATTGTTCCAGTAACAGTAGTGTTTTTTTTCTTTACAACACTTATGCCACCCATAGGATTGACAGAGAAAAACGATGATGATGATAATAATAATAATAATAATAATAATAATAATAATAATAATAATAATAATAATAATAATAATAATAATCAAATATATCATAAGCATACACGAGGCGACAAATCAAACACTTATCACAGGTTCCTTTTAAACCTCCACTTTCCACATCTTCCGTGGGATGAGGAAGCATCTTGTTATGATAAAGCTCTGGCGCAATAACCAAAGCCACTTTATACGTGTGTCGTCACTTGGGAGAATCTTAAGGGAAAAGAGGCAAAGAATTTCTCAGATCTCCCAAGGAGGAATTTGTAGCCGTTGAAGATCTAACCCACAAGATCTCTTTTCTTTTCAGTAAATAATGAAAAAATACACTCAGAGCAAAACGAAGACCATTTAAGTTACGTTAGGTTTGTCAGGAAACGGGACAATTGTTTCCTGACGCGGGTCTCAGCCATGTGATGACCCACCCATTTATTTTTCATCGTCTCAGTTGCACGAGGCTTCGTCAAGTATGACGAAGTAGTATTTGGTTCAATCACTCGTAAGCGCAACGTTGTACTGACGCAAGGTCTCTTTCTGCTGTATGAGTCTTTTATCCATTATTTACCAGCTCACAGCCACACTCCAACTTCTCCCTACATGGTGGATCTATTTCACACTTGCCACACCACTGATCTAATTGAAATCATCTAGTTGGGGAATTACCCCTCTATAGCACTGTATACTTCAGTGAAGATAATTTTTACACTTTAATATTACATGATCAAGGTCTTATATGTTAAAGTTAGAGTTGTTAATAAGATAACTATTTGTCGACGGGTGTCCACCTCACGCAACTAAGTCAGACTGAACCACTCAGCTGCATAATAAGGGATAAAGGCAGGTCTTACAACACTGATGGTAGGGGAGGCTGAGGCGTTTTTTTTCACAGTTACCGATCATAAATTATCTAAGATATGGAATAAAGCACTTAAACAAAAACGTACTAATTAAATATTTCAACCAAATATTGATTTTTATATATTACAATAAAGAGTATTATGTTTTTGAGGAATGGGAGAGGGGAGACAAAACAAATATTTCTGAGGGCGTATTTAGATTATGAGAAGCACAGTGATTGTTTTTTTGGCTGTTCGTTCGCAATCCAGGACGAGCACTGGATACCACTTCCCCCAACTCCGTCCCCTCGGCTGGGGTCAGACACAACACATGCACAAGGTACCGGCTTTACAGAAGAAAAATAATACAGAACTTTAGTTCACTATCCATATTCTGCTTTATCTGTAAACCAGAGAGCAATGGCATACTGTTCACATACGTAAACTCATGAGAAATCACGAAAGCGATTGGAATATTACTATTCTTCACTGTGGTTATATAGCATATTAAGATATCACCTGTGCCCTGTGATCTTATTACATATATATATATATATATTATATATATATATATATTTTATATATATATATATATAATATATATATATATATATATATATATATATATATATATATATATATATATATATATATATATATATATATATACGGTTTGTAAACCAAGATATCAATGACATAAGATCATTTCCAGGTCACGAGGCCAAATTTTCACTCCTGCCTTGATAACCAGAGATGCATGCTTGGGGAGTGCTTGCTGGAGCTGGTCCACGAGGCCCCACTCTCCCCTTTTAAACTGCAGTACCCTTGGCAGGAAGAGAGAATTTGGTATACGGAATAAAAACAAACACAAACACACACACACACAGAAACACACAATCAACAATTACAAGGCTGGAAGATGGTCACATAGCAGGGGAACAGGAAGGCCAGAAATTCTAGAAAGCAAATGGATAAATACGAGAGCAGCTCTAAGAGTCTTTTAGCTGAGAGGAAAGAAGCAGTCCTCAGCCTCTTGATCAAGAAGAAAGAGGCAGGCACTCTTTAGGCTCCTCGACCCCATAGTAAAAGACCATTATTTTAAGTGACCAGAGTCATGAGGGCAAAAATAAATAAATAAAAAGGTCCCTCAGGTCTTTGGCTACTAGGAAAGAGGAGGAAGTCCGTCCAGAGTCCCTTAACTAGCAGGAAGGAGGAAGTAGACTCCTCCTTTCATCCTCCAACCAACAAATCTTGCTACAATACAAGAGGTTGGAGGTCAAATGGCACAAGAAGTGGAGACAAGAAGTAACTTTTAGTTGCCACACCCTTCAGCACTGGTCAGTCACCTTGCTATAATAATCTCTCCATCCAGTCAGCTGCTCACACAACATGTAAAAGGAAGAAAAAACATCCAAAATATACATAAAGAAGAGTGAAGTTTTAATAAATTAGTAACGGGTCGAATTCTGAAATTATGTGAGTCTTTCATTTAACATTGACTTCAGACGTCAGTAAATATTGAAACCATCTCAAGTTCTCTATTTTTATTTATTGTTTAGTCACGAAATTATCACATAATATATAATTTAAATAAAAGCCAGGATAAACTAATGCTAGAAAAAAAAAGTTTCGAAGATGAGGGGTATTTGCGTTTATTAAAAGGCGGTCGATCTTTATATATATAATTAATCTATATTTCAGCTTAGGAAGGAACGGGAAATTAGAATTGACATGAATACTAACAAACAGAAATCTGTTTACATGAGTTCTGTTTACATGAGTTCTGTTTAAATGAGTTCTGTTTACATGAGTTCTGTTTACATGAGTTCTGTTTACATGAGTTCGTGAAAGCAAGTTCATTCAGAATTCGAATTCCAAAGGTACTAAAAAAATAAATATTGTAAAATAACTCAAAAAAAGCAAACATGACAGTTTACATTAAAAAAAATTATTAAACTTCATTTTTTTAATTAAATGAAAGACAGAAAGAACAACATTAAGAGAAACGATGAATATTAAACATATATATTATTACAGAGTATACTGATTTATTGTTTCAAAAGTGTTATGGACTTTTATTTTAATAACTTGAAAGAGAATGTATGTACAGAGATTGATGCAAAAGCATATATGCTATTAATGTTTAGTTAGAAAGCATTCAACACTTACCTAAGTGTGAGTGTGTGTGTGTGTGTGTGTGTGTGTGTGTGTGTGTGTGTGTGTGTGTGTGTGTGTGTGTGTGTGTGTGTGTGTGTGTGTGTGTGTGTGTGGTTTGTGTGTGTCTGTGTGTCTGTGTGTCTGTGTGTTTTGTGTGTGTGTGTGTGTTTAATCACTCAATTGTATATACATTATTTTCTCACTGGATAATAATTCCTAGCTCTTGGGCCACTACTTTTGCACTTTAATTAATTAGTGTAGCTAATACCTGTTTTTTTTGGTGGTCTGTTCATTCTGTCATTTCGAGCTGGTCTCTGCTACATCAGTTCCTAATGTATTATTTTTTTTCCCTAACCTCACACTTTTACATTGGTCACTATGGATCATTTGAACTAATCTCTGAGTTCCCACACTATGACTTCTCCCACACTATGACTTTCTGCCCTATTTAATTTTATTAATGGATTTTGAAAGCCACGATCAACTTTGCTCTGGATCTCAGGTCTTCAAATGATGCCGGATCTGGATCCCTTAACTTTGCTTCACATTCCAAAACCTCGGAGTTCACAAACAAACATCTGAATTTTTGCAAGTATTTTCAACTTTACCTTCGCATGCTTCAGCAGCACAGTATATACTGAGATGCTGTATCACTATGCTTAAGTGGATACTCCCAGAAAAGGTCATATACATCAAGAAGTGTATGTCCCTTGTGACCCTTTATGCAGTTGATAGGCATTAAATACAACTCAACCCCACTCCTGGGTTGGGTACGGACTCTTCCTCATCCCTCTGTGCTGGCAGCACCTAAATGACGCCAGCTGAGGTTTCCATTTTATCCCAGAGAATCCTAGAACCAGCTACTTTTCTTTATAAAATGGAATATTTCCCTCCGTCACTGAATGCTATTTCCATTTCTGAGAGTAGCTATCAGAGCTAAATACTGAAAGTTAAAAATTTACAAGAGGAAATAAGGTGCCTAAGAAACGCTAATAAAGAGATAGAAGACAGTGTCGTGTTCCAATTAAAAGAACCAGAGACGAATTAATAAAAACCAACCACGAATTAATAGAAACTTTGAACGAGATAACCTAGTAAACAGCCTAGAAAAAAACTCACAAATCGTAACATTACAAAAACCTTCATACCCAGCATATTAATTCTAGAAGTTTAAACAAACTGGCAAAATAAACGATATCCGGTGACAGTAAATAGCTATGACATTTCTCTTCAAGAAGACGCAGCGCTGTATAGTCCTTGTGGCTTAGCGCTTCTTTTTTGATTATAATAATAATAATAATCTTCAAGAAGACAAGATTTACTTACTACTTGAACCACTCAAAGGAGATGGTGACAACTGTGAAAATACTATTTTGTAACTAATTAAAAACCGACGTACTTAAGCTGTACTCAAGTCGTAAACAATAATTGGGTAAAACCCAACCAAAACTGGACACCCTCTTTAATCTAGATATTAAATCTGACCTCAGAAAAATAGCAATAACAAAAAAAAATGTGGACGAATTTTACAAAAAAAAAAGAAGAAAAGAAGAAAGAAAGGAAGAAAGAAAGAAAGAAAAAAGAAAATAGATATTGATCAGGCTGAGAATGACCATTTTGGAAAAAAAATTCCCAATTATCTAATTATTCATAAATTAGCAAGATAAATATATATATATATATATATATATATATATATATATATATATATATATATATATATATATATATATATATACATATATATATATATATATATATATATATATATATATATATATATATATATATATATATATATATATATATATTATATGTGGTTAGGTAAGACACATATGCAACAGTTAGGTATCTTTATTATGAAACGTTTCGCCTACACAGTAGGCTTCTTCAGTCAAGTACAGAAAAGTTGATAGAAGCAGAAGATACTTGAAGACGATGTAATCAGTCCATCACCCTTAAAGTTTTGAGGTGGTCAGTCCCTCAGTCTGGAGAAGAGCATTGTTCCATAGTATGAAACAATATGATTACATCGTCTTCAAGTATCTTCTGCTTCTATCAACTTTTCTGTACTTGACTGAAGAAGCCTACTGTGTAGGCGAAACGTTTCATAATAAAGATACCTAACTGTTGCATATGTGTCTTACCTAACAACCTGTCGGTATTTTATACCATTTTAATGTTCCATATATATATATATATATATATATATATATATATATATATATATATATATATATATATATATATATATATATATGTCGTGCCGAATAGGCAGAACTTGCGATCTTAGCTTAAATAGCAACGCTCATCTTGCCATATAGGACAAACGAAAATTTGTGTATGCAATAATTTCGATAAAATCATTCTGAACCTAACGAAAAAAATATATTTCACTGTGTTTGTTTAGTATTAAATTACTGTAAACAAATCTAAAATATATTTAGTTGGGTTAGGCTAAAATAAATTGCTTTTGTTATAATAAGGTTAGATAAGTTTTCTAAGATTCTTTTGATGCAAAATTAAAATTTTTTACATTAACATTAATGAAAAAAATATATCTTTAAATGTATAAAAGAAAATTTCGGAAAGGACATAATTTTAAATGAGTTCCTGCTAATTGACCAGTTCTGCCTATTCGGCACGACATATATATATATATATATATATATATATATATGTGTGTGTGTAAAACCGACATACTTCTCCTGTATCATTGTTCACATTTCTTAGTAATGATTATCATTAATTTCCTCGTCACACATTTTATACATTCTGAGTAGTGTACATGAACTGAGAGCTGCAGCACATGTACAACGATGGTTGTATTATCTCATGTACACTTAGATTTTTATTAAAGCTTTCTTGATGGCCCTCGTACATCAAATAGTTTTTAAACCTCAGTAACCAACCAATTTTTTTTTTTTGGGTCACCTGCATGGTTGCTTTGATAGCTACACCTCCCATGTGTACATATGTGCATACATGTGCTCACCATGTACACCTACTGCCATAGTTTATTATAGAATCCACTCATAGCAATCCAAAAATATATTTCATACTGTAGATTAAACTTATTTTAGTTTCCTATTAAATCAACATAGATAAATCACCACATATGAGGATCCTTAATTTATTCTCTTACTGTTTATTTCAAGTTATCATCCGTTCACCCCACTCTTACATGCTGACCAAAACTGTTCAAGTTAAATAACACAAATGTATTCAGAAATAACGAAAAAAAATACATGCTCGGGTTCAATTGTAACACAGCGTTTTTCATCTAACACAATAAAAACATACCCGTGTTAATTTACAACACAAGTTCCCGCATGAAGCAACCAAAACATAACTGTGTTTCCATTATCGCACAAGTTCCCTCACATGTGCAACTCTGGTACTCTTTATTGTAGACGTTTCGCCATCCAGTGGCTTTATCAATACAAATTCGCCACTGGATGGCGAAACGTCTACAATAAAGATATCCAGATGTTGCACATGTGTCTTAATTTCATCTTGTCGGTATTATATACCATTCTTGCACAACAAGTTCCCTCGTCAAAAACAACAAAAGAGTAACGTTTCTTTTCCTCAGTCGCATAGAAAAGAGCCCTCATGACACAACAAAAGCATAACCGTGTTCAAACACAAGATCCGACATCAAACACAATGTTGGTATCTAAGTCCTTCTAGAAGCACTCAAGACTAAGTAGGATCCCACGCCAAACAAAATGTTATTAAATGTGTCCCTCTAGAATTCCTAAATGTTAAATACTCATTGATAAACCTAAGAGAGACGTGGCTAAAAGATATAGACTTACCAAATGTGTAGACATACCTGGATTTGCGGCCATCCACAATCATAGACCTAATGAAAAAGGAGGAGGAGGTTCTGCAATCTACTACACAAATTTATTTGAGTGCAAAAAAAAATCATCAACACGAAAATGGACTACTGGGAATATATATATTTGACTAATTCATTACCAACGACATTGAGACTAGTATAACAATAAGAACATCTAAAGAAAAACGATGATAATTTTTTTTTTTGTAAAGGCCATAAAATTTATGTAAGAATTGATTTTGGTCAAGGAAATACCCGTCAAGTTTCTAGCTTTCTAAACAGCATGTACTACAGCCTACTACATGTACTCCTTTCTATGCATATACATCTACCTACTGCATGTACTTCTATGTATTGCATGTATGCCTATTTGCTACATGTTCTCCTGTCTATCGCATATTTTATTGTCTTCTAATATCTTCAGTAACTAAGGCCTCTTGACATTATTTTCTACTATCAATACTACTACTATTGCTTCCACTACCAGCTTTTCCATTACTATTACTTCTTTTTCTTCCTCTCGTCGTCCCGTCCCTGTCCAACTCGCCTATGTATACTGGCTCACTCATTCTTTTGTGTTAGTATGACTTTGTAAGTGGTCCAAACCGGACCAGAAAGTCGTCGTAAGAATCTCCCACATGCGGGTTATTTGTCTATTACTGAGACAACTGTGACCACCTTGTATCAGCATGTAAACAAACACCGTAAACTCAGTCGTAATCAGAAGAGAACTGAACAAGAAATCAGGAATTGCTAGTTGGAAAACTTAACTGAAACTTCGTTGTCAGCCTTGGCTGAAGTGGTTAGAGATATTAACTGGAATTCGGAAGTTACGAAGACTGAAAACTTTATGGAGCAAAGTTCCATCTTCGTCAAAATAAACTTTTGTTTTGATTATTCATTCTAATGATTATTTAAAGAGTACATATCCGAAAATAATTAATAACTTGTGATTTAAGGGAGAGAGAGGGAGAGAAAGAGAGAGAGAGAGAGAGAGAGAGAGAGAGAGAGAGAGAGAGAGAGAGAGAGAGAGAGAGAGAGGAGAAGAGAGGGAGAGGAGAGAGAGAAGAGAGAGAGAGAGAGAGAGAGAGAGAGAGAGAGAGAGCAGAGAGAGAGAGGAGAGGAGAGAGAGAGAGAGAGAGAGAGAGAGGAGAGAGAGAGAGAGAGAGAGAGAGAGAGAGAGAGAGAGAGAGAGAGAGAGAGAGAGAGAGAGAGAGAGAGAGAGAGAGGAGAGAGAGAGAGAGAGAGAGAGAGAGAGAGAGAGAGAAAGAGAGAGAGAGAGAGAGGGAGGGAGATTTGAGAAAATTAAGGAAAGAGAAGAGTGATAAGAGCGAGATGTAAGAGAAGAGTGACAAGAGAGGAAAGAAGGGAGAAAAGGACGAGATACAGTACGAAGAGAGAGTGAAAGAAGAGAGAGAGAAAAAAAAGTGACAAAAGGCAGTATCTAGATCCAGATTTAAATTGTATCTAGATCTACACTGTGTCTAGAACTTAAACGGATCTCACGTACATAACACAAAGCATAAATAAATAAACTGAAATTCCACTCTCTAGACTGTGACACCATGAGGCTGTATTCAAGCCTCGAACCACCGACCTCGCCAGCCTGTAGCCAACACATTACCACTGCACCACAGACATGAAAACACCTCCATCAGAGATCTCGGAGCTGTATAAGTCTCCGCTACAGCCACGGATCACAAACCTTTGTATTGCCTCTCCTGCCACTCGTGTAGGAATTTAGCGTAAATGAAAAATCCCAAAATATAGAAGAATTTACAATTTACAATTAGGTATCAAAGTTTATTCAAGTGAAAAAAAACTAACGTAATTATGCCATTATTATACTGTAACCTCGATAATTTTCACAATTCACAAAATGAGCTAATTATTGTTAATATAATTATTTCATTTATGCTAATGTTATCAATAAAATCGATAATTTCTAAGTCATTACCATCATTTCTATACATTACAATTGTATAGTTATCCCAACTATAATTCTAACTAACATACAAAAAAAAGTCAAAATATAATGTTCAAAATTACTTCTGTGTATTAAGTTAATGGAAGGTTTTTCAAATAAATGATTTTAGAGACGACAGACGTAATTACCAAATACATTGAAATACCTATACAAACTAGACGGAAAAAAAAGACGTAATATCTGTATTTATTGATTTTTGGTGTGATCATGTTTACCTGGGGTTTACCTGGAGAGGGTTTCGGGGGTCAACGCCCCCGCCTGAGACCAAGCCTCATGGTGGATCAGGGTCTGATCAACCAGGCTGTTACTGCTGGCCGTAATGTATTTCGTGATATTTTTATTTTTTTATGTTTTAAGAGATCTAAATAAATTCGCTCAGCTTGTTTTATGTTATTTTCCCGACAAATAATAATAATAATAATAACAATAATAATAATAATAATAATATTATTATTATTATTATTATTATTATTATTATTATTATTATTATTATTATTATTATTATTATCATAAATACAATAATAATAATAACAATAACAAAAATAAAACAGCAGGTTTGATTTTGTTGACCTGGAATTAAACTCTTTATTAGATCTTTAGTTTATTATTTTATTAGTTTGCATAACAATCCTGTATTCCGGTCGTATCACTCTCACCTGTAGACAGGTCATTCCTAGCACTTGAAATCCTCTGGTGACTATGTATCTAAAATTACTTATTTATGATACCAGAAAGCATTAAAGTGTTTCTTGTGTTTCTTGTGTTTATACAGTCTGTCCACTCGTATATCGGCTTGTGTTTATACAGTCTGTCCACTTATATATCGCCTTGTGTTTATACAGTCTGTCCACTTATATATCGGCTTGTGTTTATACAGTCTGTCCACTTATATATCGGCTTGTGTTTATACAGTCTGTCCACTCGTATATCGCCTTGTGTTTATACAGTCTGTCCACTTATATATCGCCTTGTGTTTATACAGTCTGTCCACTTATATATCGGCTTGTGTTTATACAGTCTGTCCACTTATATATCGCCTTGTGTTTATACAGTCTGTCCACTCGTATATCGGCTTGTGTTTATACAGTCTGTTCACTCGTATATCGGCTTGTGTTTATACAGTCTGTCCACTTATATATCGGCTTGTGTTTATACAGTCTGTCCACTCGTATATCGCCTTGTGCTTATACAGTCTGTCCACTTATATATCGCCTTGTGTTTATACAGTCTGTCCACTTATATATCGGCTTGTGTTTATACAGTCTGTCCACTTACATATCGCCTTGTGTTTATACAGTCTGTCCACTTATATATCGGCTTGTGTTTATACAGTCTGTCCACTTATATATCGGCTTGTGTTTATACAGTCTGTCCACTCGTATATCGCCTTGTGTTTATACAGTCTGTCCACTTATATATTGCCTTGTGTTTATACAGTCTGTCCACTTATATATCGGCTTGTGTTTATACAGTCTGTCCACTCGTATATCGCCTTGTGTTTATACAGTCTGTCCACTCGTATATCGCCTTGTGTTTATACAGTCTGTCCATTTATATATCGCCTTGTGTTTATACAGTCTGTCCACTCGTATATCGGCTTGTGTTTATACAGTATGTCCACTTATATATCGGCTTGTGTTTATACAGTCTGTCCACTCGTATATCGGCTTGTGTTTATACAGTCTGTTCACTCGTATATCGGCTTGTGTTTATACAGTCTGTCCACTTATATATCGCCTTGTGTTTATACAGTCTGTCCACTTATATATCGGCTTGTGTTTATACAGTCTGTCCACTTATATATCGGCTTGTGTTTATACAGTCTGTCCACTCGTATATCGGCTTGTGTTTATACAGTCTGTCCACTTATATATCGCCTTATGTCGCAGAATCTAATGAGATTTTTAAGGCAGATGTTTCAAGTCTGTAAACCCATGATGCGTGTGTTTGTTAGGCAAAAGACAAGAGAAACTAGAGACATTTATTATGGTTGTTTTGCAGTCCAGAAGCTTTAGCAGGAATATATAAACAACAGAGGGATTCTCAGGGTGTTTAAAGCGAACGTGGCGAGGTGCAGGAAGAACAAACACTGAACAAGCACACATGAGAATGTCATGAAGTGCCAACTGTCTCCCTTTTAGAGAACACCTTAATAAACTCTAAAATATTAACACGAATCCTCCTTAAAACGATAAACCCAGCCGTCATCCAACACCAGGTGGTTACTACTACTACTATTACTGATGCTACTGCTACTACTACTACTACTACTACTACTACTACTACTACTACTACTGATGCTACTGCTACTACTACTACTACTACTACTGATGCTACTGCTACTACTACTACTACTACTACTACTACTGATGCTACTGCTACTACTACTACTACTGATGCTACTGCTACTACTACTACTACTACTACTACTGATGCTACTACTACTACTACTACTACTACTACTACTACTACTACTACTACTACTGATGCTACTGCTACTACTACTACTACTACTACTACTGATGCTACTACTACTACTACTACTACTGATGCTACTGCTACTACTACTACTACCACTACTACTACTACTGATGCTACTGCTACTACTACTACTACTACTACTACTGATGCTACTACTACTACTACTACTGATGCTACTGCTACTACTACTACTGATGCTACTGCTACTACTACTACTATTATAACTACTACTACTACTACTATTATAGCTACTATTACTACTACTACTATATCTACTAGCATAAGAAGTAAGGTCTACTAAAGTGCTTATGTTCTTCTGTCTACACCTTGCTATGTTCCCACAATATACATCAGTGGCCTTATATTCTTTGTATAGGCTTGGTGAACTTCCTCGAGAACTACACTTCTCAGTAATAAAAGTCTCAATTCCTCTGTGTTCTTACCTTGATTTAGAAGTGAGTGTATTTGCCGACTAGTGAGTAGTGATGAGTCGACTAACTGCTAAGGTGCGTGTTGGCCAATCTCATAGCCGTGTGCTGTCTTCAAGACTGGGGCTATTATCCTTCTAGGTGTGAGGTGTGTGTGTGTGTGTGTGTGTGTGTGTGTGTGTGTGTGTGTGTGTGTGTGTGTGTATGTGTGTGTGTGTGTGTGTGTGTGTGTGTGTGTGTGTGTGTGTAGACTACCATTGTCGCCGTAGAGCGTTGTCGACTTACCGCGAGCAGTTCGGAGTGGTTGGAGCGGGGACCAGGCTCATGATCGGTCAGTTCCACTTCAGCAAAGTCTACACTGTTGTAGTTAGGCTTCAAGATGTCTTGGAACTGTCCATGGAAAAGAGGGAAGGAAAAAAAAGAGAGAGAGAAAGGGAGGGAGAACGAGAGAGTAAACAAGAAGAGGAACAACAGGAAAGATCGAAGAGAACGAATAAGGTAGGATGGAAAACGAAAAAGCGTAAGAAGAAGGGAAGTAAAAATTTAGGGATGGGCACAACAGATGGAAAGGAGAGGAGGAAAAAGATACGTGAATTAATAACTGAAAAAAGGACATACTAAATTATTTATAACTAGCATATAATATTTAAATTGGGCTATACTTGTGGTATACAAGGAATATACTGCGCTGATATACACCAGGCTGGATGTGAAAGAAACAGGTGTGAAACAGGTATGAAATGATATATTTTGGAAAATAGAAAAAAATATCTCTTATATGAGGACTCTGTTTTTTTATTATTATTATTAATTTTAAAGGACTTTATATTATTTATTTTGAAGGGGAGAGTGGGCAACAATTTCACATTTTTCAAAAAGATTTGAAAACACAGGGGGGGAAAAATACATTGTCATTTAGAATTAGAAATCAAGTCTATTAAAAAGAATTCAAACAGGCTTGAAGTACTGATTAGTTTATATTAATGTCTGTATGTGCGCGCGCGCGAGTGCGTATGTGTGTATAAGAGAATAGGTACCAAAAATCTTTGTGCACAAGATACAAGTCTTAGTTAAAGCGAGACGAACAAGAGTTAGTCCAAAGTATATTTCAAACATACTTGTTGAAGTGCATTGTAAACATAGTCTCTTAAAATGCATTGTAAATACAGTATCTTGTCGAAGTGCATTGTAAACATAGTCTCTTAAAATGCATTGTAAATACAGTATCTTGTCGAAGTGCATTGTAAACATAGTCTCTTAAAATGCATTGTAAATACAGTATCTTGTCGAAGTGCATTGTAAACATAGTCTCTTAAAATGCATTGTAAATACAGTATCTTGTCGAAGTGCATTGTAAATACAGTATCTTGTCGAAGTGCATTGTAAACATAGTCTCTTAAAATGCATTGTAAATACAGTATCTTGTCGAAGTGCATTGTAAACATAGTCTCTTAAAATGCATTGTAAATACAGTATCTTGTCGAAGTGCATTGTAAACATAGTCTCTTAAAATGCATTGTAAATACAGTATCTTGTCGAAGTGCATTGTAAACATAGTCTCTTAAAATGCATTGTAAATACAGTATCTTGTCGAAGTGCATTGTAAATACAGTATCTTGTCGAAGTGCATTGTAAACATAGTCTCTTAAAATGCATTGTAAATACAGTATCTTGTCGAAGTGCATTGTAAACACAGTCTCTTAAAATGCATTGTAAATACAGTATCTTGTCGAAGTGCATTGTAAACACAGTCTCTTAAAATGCATTGTAAATACAGTGTCTTGTCGAAGTGCATTGTAAACATAGTCTCTTAAAATGCATTGTAAATACAGTATCTTGTCGAAGTGCATTGTAAACATAGTCTCTTAAAATGCATTGTAAATACAGTGTCTTGTCGAAGTGCATTGTAAACATAGTCTCTTAAAATGCATTGTAAATACAGTATCTTGTCGAAGTGCATTGAAACATTAGTCTCTTAAAATGCATTGTAAATACAGTGTCTTGTCGAAGTGCATTGTAAACATAGTCTCTTAAAATGCATTGTACATACAGTATCTTGTCGAAGTGCATTGTAAACATAGTCTCTTAAAATGCATTGTAAATACAGTCTCTTGTTGGAGTGCATTGTAAAGTAGTCATTGTTACAATGAACAAAAAACATTCATGATCACCTTCAGGTACATATGTCTTTCTTTGATCGAGTACATGATACGACTGACATTACGAAAGTGGACTTCAGTGTTCATCTGAACTGTAGTGCACAACCTGTGTGTATCTTTCGAAATACAAGTCATGCCTGTACATGTACAAGTGCTTGACGTGTTGGTCTTTAAGTGCACAAAATGCCTGTCTTGGTCTACTGTACAAGTCGTGAAATGTACATTGATCCAGTCGTTACTGGCGTACTGAATCATTCACCGTATAGTACACAAGTCATTAAATACAAATTGGGGTCAGCTGTTAAGTGCATATTGAGCAAGTCATTAAGTGCATAATAAGCTAGTCATTAAGTGCATAATAAGCTAGTCATTAAGTGCATAATAAGCTAGTCATTATGTGCGCATTAAGCTAGTCAATAAATGCATATTGAGCCAGTCTTTAAGTGCATACTGAGCAAGTCTTTAAGTGCATATAGAGCAAGTCCTTAAGTGCATATTGAGCAAGTCCTTAAGTGCACATTAAGCTAATCATTAAGTGCATTTTGAGCGAGTATTCTTTAAAGTGCCTGGTATGCCAGTCTTGGACAGGTTGCTCTTCATTTAAGCGCATGACACAAGTCTTTAAGTGCATGAAGGAAAGACAAGAAGAACAGCCTAGTCTCACTTTTAAGTGCAACGATAGGCAGCTACGCTTATTGTATCAAGAGAAATATGAGGTAGTAAACATTGAG